CATAACAGATCGACTTATAGTATTCGAGAAACAAATAAGTATTTACTGTAAACGTATCTTTTACTATGTATCGTAATTTTTTGCTTCTATATTTCTGTACGACAAAATAGTTTTGTATTTTTAAATATGTCAGTTTGTAGGGAATCCAAAACACATTCTTATGATATATTACATTTGATTTTAACATTTATTATCAGTCTAAAAGTATCGGTTAGCTTTCAACTTTATCTATATCTTACTAATCCTACAGACAAAGGGTGAAGTAGTAAAACGCTTGATAAGTATAATTTCAACGCTGAATTGTTATGTCTCATATACCAGATTGTAGATGAAGTGCTCCTTAACAAAACAACATATTAAACGAATATGAATAACGCATCGGCAAAAAAGTGTGACCGATCGAAAATAGGTCATTTTTTGACCAAAGTAAAATAAAACTACTCTAACTCAGCAGCGAGCTAACGATGACAGCTAAAAATCTCATATTCGTGACTAACGCATTTAGCTCTACCAGAGCCCATGTATTTCTCAAAAATCCCACGAAGACACTTCGAAATGTTCCCTCGTTAGACTCAATCGAATTAATCTTTGGATATGAGCAGAAACATCTTGTCTTTTTAATACATGAGATTTATTTGGTTACTAACATACTACATTATATATTCACAATAAAACACTGAAAAAACACAAATATGATTAATTGAAATATTCCTTGCAGTTTCTTGAATTTAGTGCATTCACTAGCTGATTCATGTCATCTTTTTTCGATTCTTTACTTATATTAAAACGACGTTTGTATCTAAGAAATTCATTTTCGTCATTCGTTCAATATATTCATTCACTTTCTTTTTCTAGCGTTCTTGATAGAAATTGTTTTCTGCTCATTTCCACTTCTCGTCATACATAGATACTTATTGTTCTAATGACGAGACTTGGGCAGTTGATACAATCGTAGTGAGTAGAAGATGCAACTACTGTTGCTGAAGTTTGTTTTATCAACAAAATAGTCACAATTTATACCTAACGAGAAGAGAATTTCTTTTAAAAAATCGTTAGCATGGTTCAGAACATTTTGTAAATTAACCATGTGATCATCTTCTACTGGAAAGTTCTTGAGAATTTGTCGCATATTTTCTGTGTATATGTATAACAGTCATTTTCTGTTTTATCTTACGGCGATTTATTATAAATATGAATAGCACAGTATAGTAACACAATCATCAGCCAAGTTATATAATGAAAAGTATTAATGTTTTTGTTCAAATGTTCAGTATGTTGGCAAATCAGAACAAAAAAGATATTTTTACTTACATAAAAAATGAGATATATACTTTGTTTCGCTCGTAAAATGGATTTTTATAAGTAATGTTCCAAAGAAGAACTAAAACCAACTGATTAAATTGTTTTCTTAGCTAAATCCTTTTTTGAGTTTTCTTTTTGTGTTTCAGATGTTGATGAGAAGAATTAAAAGAAAACATACAATTCTGAAGAAATGTCAGTAAAATACAAGGTTTTTTGGAACTATCTTCCTTCCCGTATTTTAGTTTGTCATGCTCACTTTTCTCACGGGAAATAATGATAAAAGATTTTTCAGCAATGGCGGTAATTGACGATCTCCCTATAATTTCCCATCTTTGGCAATGACTTATTGACTCATAGATCTATTCCAAAGAAAGAAACTATCGAAATTTATTCGAATAAAAAAAGAATATATTTGTAACATTATTCATTAATTATAAAAAAAGCAAACATTTCGCTATACAATATAAATACAAAAATCCATTACAAGAAAAAGAGGCACGAAATAATAGCATATTTCCTCACACATTATTTAAATACGAAATCGTCTAAAATAATCAACAGATTAGTTTTTATTAGAAGAGAGGATAGAACACATACTTTGGTGGAACTTCTGGTGGCTGACGTGAAGGTGATTTCGGTGTACGTGTCTAAAAGCAAAATGCATAAATAAAATAGTTCTTAAATATTTTTTCTTCTTCTTACTTCTTGTAATAAGCGTTCTTCACTTTTAGCACGTTTTTGGATTACTAAGGGATTTGGCGGTGATTTACACGTCAGTCGTTCAACATCGTTAAAAATAACATTGGCACCGCCTCCAACAGACTGTAACACATCGCCCTTTAGAATGAAAATGTGTAAAACAAATAAGTATAACGATGAGACAAAGATTTATACTTTAACTAAATCCGTAACAATTTCACCATCACTATCTAAATTTTGATGTGTCAATACATATTTTGTTGTTCGAACAATATCATCTTTTTCGGGTTGTAGTCCAATCACTTTCTTACTAAATTGTGGTTGAAGAAGAGTTTCTAAAATGAAAGTGAAATATGTCTAGATATGTGAGGAGTCATATTTTACATTTTTTTCGTGTCTGAATGGTTACCTGTTGTTAATGTTCCTTGTGGTCTATGATCAAACCACACTTCACCACTGGATCTTGAACGTCGATGTTGTTGTCTTGGATGTGCAACAACTTGCCCTTGAGAATCGCTATAAACAATAGGAATTTGTTCAATCGGTATTCCACGCGGTATCATCATTTCGACACGATGATGTTGTATTCGATCCATCATATCAAGTGATTGACCTGCTGCTGGAGGATTGTTATTTCTAAAAAAATAAGGTCGATTATTAACGTTGAAAACTAAGCTGACATTAAATATCTTTACTCGATATCAAACACTTGAACATTTGTTTGAATTTGTGCAAATTCAGCATGTGCTATACGAGTAGTGGTCAACGATGTCGGTTGATCACTCATACCACCGGCCATTGATCTTATAATATTTAATTTATCTTCATGTTGACGTTCTAATTCTTTCATTTGCAAGTCTTTATTTCGTAATTCATTCAACTAAAGAAAAATATAAAATATTTAATAAAGAGAAACATGATCAAATAAGTGAACGAACATACATGTTGTTGTTCAACATCCATCATTTTTACACGTATTTTATTTTCAAAATCATTTTTATCTTTTCGTCTATCAGCTTTTAATTGTTTAATTTCATTATTTCTTTCTTCGATCTACAACATAAATATATTCAAAATGAAATTTGACAAAATAATTAAACGTTCAATCGTTAATCACCTGACTTTTCAATGTTTTAATATCTCGCTCATAATTACTATTTGTTTTGACATAATCATTTTGTGATTTTTCAAGTAATTTAATACGCGTTTGCAAATGTTTAATTGTTTTAGATTGTTGTTCATTTTCTTTTTTTAACTCATCATGTTCAGCCAAATATTGATCATATTCTGTTGATAGTTCTAAGATATATTTTCGTAAATATTCTTCTTGTTCATGTATAATCTGAAATCGGAAAGGTTTCAGTCAAATTACAGATGGACTGGATTATGTAAGAATACTCACGGCAGTCAAACGACGACGTTCTTCAATTCGTTTTGTTAAATGATTTTGTAGATTATTAATTGTGTCTTCATCCGTTTCAATTGAATATTCAAATGGTGGAAACGGAGCAACTAATGCTGTTGAACTAAAATAAGATAAACAATATATTTCGCATTTTATTTTCATACATTTCATTTTCTCACTAAAATTCTTGAAAAATTGTTGGAGATGGTGCTTGATTAGAAACAGTATCGGAACCACTATTCACTATTTCGCGCAGTATATTTCGATTTCGAAGTGGTACGGGTGCTGGTGCTCGAGGAACAACAACATCTTTTGTTAAATCGCCAAATTTTAATGCATGCTAAAAATAAAAGAGGGATAAAGAGATTAGATTGAGATACAAATGAAAAAAGACACATCATAGTTCATTTTTTTTGCTGTGAAGTAAAATCGAGATGTCTCATAGTACTTTCAATTCATGAGGTGCGATTCTTCCGATATCGTAGCGAATGAGTGCCAAAATTATCGGCGAAAATGTTTGTCTATTTGCACGAAACTGTTTCCACCAGGGTTTTAGTACTCTTCCGATCCGGAAGTAATCAGGAGCTCTGCTGTAGTTGTATTTGATGCTCTGCAGTTCAGTTTTAATAACAAAAGATCTACACGTACGATATGAAAAAGGCATTGTGGATGTAAATAAAGGTTTTGTATTACAACACCGTTCACTAATCAAAACGAAGTCTAGCAGTGCATTTTATTTAACTAAAATCTTACTTGTATTTCTTCGTAGCCATCAACAGCCGGATTGACACACAATATCATACGAATTTTACCCTCACCATCAAAATAACTTTTGAAAAACGATGTTAATTTTGCATCACGATAAGGAACCATCTTAACGAGAAAAATCAAATAATTTTTTAAGAGTATTTTAAAGTTAATAGACCCGTTTAACATACTTTATTTATTCCTTGAGCTTGATTTTCTCTTAATGTTTCAAAACACTGACGTAAGACCATCAAAGATGAGTTAATATTACCTATAGAAAACGTTTCTGTTAGTTATGAGAGAATAAAAGATTAAAAAAATATTACTGGCTTCTTTGACACGATCACCAGCTGTTTTTGCACGATTGACACGTTCACTACCGGCTAAATCAACTAAATGTATTTGACTAACTGTTAAATCGTCTCGTGTCTAAATAGAGATAAACTTAGTATAGATATTCACTTGTATCAGAGAAACTAAAGCATACTAATGATGTTGGTGGTATATCAGCGTGAAACTGTACGAGGCGTAACGATAAAACACTGTGTGATCGACTCGATTCTGTATTTAACTGTGTATGTGCTATTCGACGTCGTTTTAAACCAATATTGAGCAATTCAATGGCTTCTTCTGCCGATCGAACTTCAATTTCTTTCACATCTTTGATATATGGACGTCCTCGAGCATCTTCACGTAACTGTTTAGATTGTGGTGCTCTATAAAAGACAATAAAAATTATACGATTTTTTTGGAGAAAAAAATATTTGAGTCGAACTCACTTATTAAGAATATCATCATCAAACAAATCGTAAATATAATTGTTGTAAACTTCAACAAATGTTACAAATACAAAATATAAGTAGTTTTGATTAAAATTTGACAACTGTGTGATGTCTAATGTTCGTTGAACTTGTTGCTGCTGGCCAGCAATAATGTCCGGTCTTGAAACATAAAAAACTCTCAATAAAACCATGATAACGATAGCTAAGACCTTACTTTATCCGTTGACCTTTGGAAAATATTTCTTTTCGTGATCGTTCTGTTACTATGTCAGATTCACTTAAAATTTCATAACCATTTTGTCTATCAGAACGTAACAACTAAAAAACCGGGAGAAAAAATAAATTAAAGAATTTAGCAAGAAACAAACGCAGACAGAACAGAACCACACAAATAATTTTTAGTACATTGAGATTCTTATTCTTTTTTACGTTGATACATTAAAAAGACAAACTTAGCCTCCTAACATTAGATCGAAAAAAAAATTTCATGCAACCCCTTGGCTTTAGTTCAGACATCTGTACTCACATATTTTTTTCCAAGGTAATTTCCAATCGTATTGAACAAGACATCAAACGAACGTGGAATTAGTCCGGGATTGTTCAATGGTCCCATCATTGTAAAGGTTTTTCCAGAACCAGTGATACCATATGTAAACAATACACCTAAAGAGAGACGATAATAATAAAACTCAAGGCAGAGTCAGTGAAATTAACAGAAGGTACACACTGCTTTTTCCTTGTATTAAATCATCAATCAATGGTAAACATAATTCTTTGAACGCGGCTTTTTGTGATATACAATCAGTAAGGATATGACTAAATTCATAATGAGACTAAAACAAAAAAAACAAAAAAAAACAATTCTGTTGTTCTTCTAATATCACTATACACACTTCTTTGACAACGCCATTTTTGAAACCCTAAAGATAATCATGAAAGTTAATTACCGATAATTGATGACGTTCCCTCTTTTACTTACTTCAGGTGAGAAAAGTACAAGTTCAGTAGCACTTAACACTTTGATACATGTTTCACATTCACCTTCTGGTAGGGGACGAAGTCGACAAAATACCTATTTAAAATTCAATATAAGAGTGAATGTGAGTTATACATCACAGTGCGTTCTCAAAATCAACGGTATTTACTTCAACTGGAGAACCAGTTTCACGATTGAGTACAGCGTCACGATTAGCTGTTGTCTTCTTTAATGGAGTTCGATTTATAAACATCGAGAAACTGTTATGTTAATCTATAAATATTTAAAAGATAGCGTCTCTCTTCTTTTTCTTTCGTTTTGAGTGACTAAAGGCTCCGTACAGTGTAATAAAAGCCCAAATAAAAACATAAAGTAGAAGCATCCTCAATTGTGAACAAAAGTGTTGCAATGACACATCTTTAAACAATCTTCTACTCAGCAAATATTAAATTTAGAAAGCAAACATCAGTTTCATGCTCAGTTTTCTCGGATACGCTAATTTCTTCAAGATTAAATGGAAAAATCACCTTGGCCATCAAACAAAGTAGAACAGTTGCTAAAGAGCCCAAATAAGTGCTTAAAAACACTCAATGGTCGGATGTTCGAGCGATAAGTTATTAAAAAAGAAGTTTCTGTCGTTGACATGCTACTGTGATAAATGTGTTGTGTAAAAATGCTACAGTTAAAGTGTAGCCGTCATTTTTTTCGCGCCACTGCAACACGTTTATCATGAATTTTTGGGACAGTGCTGTAGATGCTTTGTTGTCAAACAGAAAAGAACACCGAATTGATTCATTGGCTAACCAAACAAAGAGCTAATACAATATTTACGAATCATACAATAGCTACAGTGTCTACCAGACTTTTCTTCGTTAGATGTCGGTAGTAGCAAGCCAGCATTGTGCGGTAGACGAACGCAATACGAAAAAATTAAAGCAAAAATATCTCTACTATTTATTTTTTCAGAGTAAGAAATACGTCCCATTCAAACTTGTCAGATGCTTAAGGCAGAAAGGCAGAATAAAAAGTCAAAAAAGTGGAAACAGTCGGAGCGCCAAGCCTAAAATGCATAATAGAATAACGTTGTCCTCAATTCAAAATCTTAAATTTTGTCCACATTATGTCTGAAAGACTGTATCTCAATCAGAGAACTTATCTCTAAAATATTT